CTATCATCTATCATCTATCATCTATCTATCTATCTATCTATCTATCCATCCACCCCAAATGTCCCAAAGTTACCCCTTCTAACTAAAATGACTCAGTCATTCAAATAGTTCCTCTTGTAAGCAAACCTAGTTTTAAAAGCTCAAGGCAGCAAATGTTCTCCTACCCACACTGTAGACAATGCGCAGACCTGCGAAGCAGAATCCCATTGCGCCGGGCACAAGGCTCTGGAGGAATTTTCTGCGGGCAGCCCTTGGTATGTGCCCTAACAGGGTCAGAGTGGGTTTAAGCGAATAGGAGAACCGAGCGAGAAGCTTAATCTGCAATGAAACTGGGGTTTAACAAGGAGTATGAAGTGTAGCAAAATATTACTTCCATATGCCGGAGAAAACCACATGTTGAACAGAAGCAAATGGTAGCCTATCAAAGTGGCAACTCAAAATCTGTGAGGGTTGGCAAGCTAACTTGGGACCAGTACTAAAAACAAACCACTTGAATGCTTAAAAAAAATTGGGTTGTTTCTTTTTTGGGGGAGGGTGTGTGTGACTGTTACAGTCCTTGTGATCAACATTTGTCAAAGGAGGCGAGGCAGAATTGTGTGCCCCCCCCGACTTATTTTACTTTTATTATGTTTGAAGATGCACTTTTCTTCAGGAAACAATTCCTAACAACTACTGTCTAAGTAACTAGGGATGGGCAACTGTATCCATTTCTGTTGCTCTCCGTTTCTCATTTTTTCTCTTTCAATTCATTTATTCACATTTCCACATCCGTTCGTGTGTGTTTTTTTCTTTTAAGAAAAATCCTCATGAAATTTTTTCAGCAGTGTGGTGTAGACTTCTTCTAATATATCCATTTTGTATGCAGTTTTGTATATGTTTTTGAAAGCAATTTCCCCTTATATAATGCATCTTTGTATGCTATTTTCACCAGTATATACATGTTTAATGCACACTTTAAACTAGTGTAGGGCTTTTTGTACACATTACTTGTCTGGAGAACTGCATTGCAAGATTTGGAGAAGAGAGAATTTTGAAAGGTTTTGATTTGTGTATTGCTTGAGAAAGTGTGAATTAGGTAGTTTTGCCTTTAAATGTGGGGAAAGTTTCGCCACCATGTGGGAATCCTATGTGGGAATCCCTTGCAGATGGCCACCGTGCCTATAAACAGACAAGTTGTGCATCCATAGTAGTGACCAGAGGAGGACTGACCTCTGGGAGGAGCGCAGAGAGAAGAAACGCCATGGCGCATCGCAGCAGCACAACTGGATGCCTTCCTCTGCCCCAGCTGCAACAAAACATGTCTCTCCTATATCGGTCTCTACAGCCACAGCAGGCACTGCAACTGTCCAACTGCTTGACTTCACTTCCAAAGGCACACTCCTCTGTTGCTTCCCGAGGCAGATGGATGCCAGGCAGGACACTGTGAGCTGAGTTGAATTTCTGACCCATTCCTAATAACATCACTATGCTATAACATATCTGTGGCATATGTTGCTGCTGTTAGCTTTGCTATCTGGTCTTTGACCGCAATAAAGATTGATTGATTGATCTCTTGCAACGGAATCTGGATATAATGTGATAACAGTCTCAGACTCATATGAGTTGCATTTTTATGTCTAGTTCCTCTGTCTATATGTGTGTGTGTGTGTGTGTGTGTGTGTGTGTGTGTGTAAATTAAAAAAGAACACAGCTGTATCTTGTACACACCAAATTTTTAAAAATCAGCATAGCATAGTCAACAGCACAGGGTTGCTAATGGATTCCTTAAAGTGCAACTGAGTCTTACCAGGACCTATTAGTCAAAATCGAAATATCATGCATTATTTATGAAATGAGATGAGTTCTTTCAAAGAACGAAAAAAAATCTGTATGAGGTTATTCAATGCTTTCAAGTGCATCTTATCAACTTAACTTCAAGGCTACTTTCATTCGTCAAATATTGAACTCTCTTGCTGACAAACAAATGACTGGGAGTCACAGGTCTGATTGTTTGCTGTTACTTGGTTTTTAATGCCAGTGCTCAGATATCTTTTTATTCTTCTTCTTTTACAATAACTGGAATGGGAAAAAAGACCTATGTTTATAGAGCAGCGAATGATTTCCTGTCGTTTACAAGGAGATCCTATACCAGGCATCTGAGTCGCAGGCTGTGATTTATGTTCATTTGATATATAGTCAAAGTAAACAGCAAACACTGTGAAGGACTGGATAGGCTGTGTGTTGGCAGATAACCTCTTGTCTAGCTTTTACAAGGTTTGCAAAGAGTCGGTTGCTCTGATTTGTGCTGGCTAAAATTAGTCAAAACACCTCGGCCATCTTTGTGTATCCAAGTTAACAACTAATGTAAGAAGCCAGCCGGCATTAATGAACCTTGAAATAATGAACTGCTGATAACCTTTCCTTTATGTACACTTTTACATACAGAGACAGACACAGCTTGACTGAGTCACTGGGGCAATGGCGGTTGAGTTTTGTTCTGCTTCACCATACTAGGCCTTCTGTAGCATCAGGCTTGAAGGGCAACATTTGGTGGTGAGGTACTTTGATGCTGGGCTGCCACAGTTGAGGATTCATTTATCAGCGGAAATGACAAAACCGTAAGTGGCCAATTCTAGTTCCATAAACTAGAAGGAGGGGGAACCACCTTTACATGGGTCTGTCAACAGAGACCATCTTGCCTTAACGCTGAGGTAGATGGCTGTGCAAATGGATGTAAGATAATCAGTGCCTTCCTATTAACAAATAGGGGACTGAAGCCAATAACTACCCGAAGGAGCGTCTCTACCCCCATCATTCAGCCTGGACACTGAGGTCTAGCTCTGAGGGCCTTCTGGCAGTTCCCTAACAGCAAGAAGCGAAGCTACAGGGAACCAGGCAGAGGACCTTCTCAGTAGTGGTGCCCACTCTGTGGAACACCCTCCCATCAGATGTCAAGGAGATGAGTAACTGGATAACCTTTGGAAGACATCTGAAGGCAGCCCTGGGTAGGGAAGCTTTTAATGTGTAATGTTTTGTTATGTTTTTATATATGTTGGAAGCTGCTCAGAGTGCTGGGGCAACCCAGTCAGATGGGCAGGGCCTTATTATTATTATTATTATTATTATTATTATTATTATTACTAGTAGTAGTAGTAGTGTCTAGTCATGTTTATACTACAATTCATTATAGTCAAGTATCTGTATGCCACTCCAGAGCAGAAAGTTATCTACGTTGAGCGATCACAGCTTGTCTCACTCTGAAATTTTTTGGGGGGAAGGGCAGCCTTTCAAGTTCAAGGGATGAACTGTGGTCTCGTTACAGCTCTGACCTCTCCCAGCATTCACATAACTGGTCCTCAATGGGTAATTCCACATATAGATATATTCCCACTCATTGAAGATCAAATGGGGTGTTTTTTTTCAACTACAAAAAAATGCACCTGATTGTGGGCTACCAGAAGTAGCATTGTGGGCCAGATCCAGCCCACAATGGATTCACTCCTGGTCTAATACATCAAATAGAAATGCAGACAAATTCGAAGACTAGAAAGGTTTTCTGGAGGAGCAAAAAAGTCGGGTGAGTTAACTTGGTGATATTTTATTTTCAAAAAGCTGAGTTTTATGCACTTGCTAATCCCTCCAAGGAATTCTGGATTGCAAATTATTTATATTGTAATTTGGTTGTTTTGTGTGTTTTTTTAACTACCGGCTAGCCACCTTATAAATAGATGTTGAAGGTAGGTGGATATAAATTATGTGCATCAATCAGTAAGCAATACTATTTTTATTTTTTTTAGACTCCCTGCATATAAATTATGTGGATATAAATTATATCCCTGGATATAAATTATGTGCATCAATCAGTAAGCAATACTATTTTATTTTATTTTAGACTCCCTGCATTCACATGTGATAAAGGATGTGCCAAGCACCTATTTGTGCCATACCACTGGCTGCAAATAATGCTTGCTTCCATATCAGCATGTTTTCCCTCCTGAGCAAGAGTCGATATGTCACAAACATGCCCTCCAGCAAACACAATCTAGCTTTTAGGCAACTATTTATTGTGACACATCCAAGGTCATGCCCACATGCTCTTGTCAATTAACTAAAAATAACCCTGCAGGTAGGTGCAAAGAGCAATCAATGCAAACAGCCACAGCACCTGTGGGCATGCTCTGAAAGGAGGACAAGAAGCCAGGCTTTCCCCACTCTCAAACTAAACCACCTGCACATAGGCTACATAAAAGGTAACAGAGTGACCCTGAGCACATTTGAACCCTTAAAAGGGCATGTATTCAGATAAATTTACAGGTTGATTCACCTTCCTGTGGCCTTTCCTGGATATCCAGACCAACACACACACACGCACAAACGCACACACAAATGTAATTTCTGCTGTAGCTTCTTCTACTCTGACAAACACCCACAGCTGAGTCAGCTGACTGAATAGGGAAAGTGTCATTTTAAGACATCTTCCACCCACTGAAAGAGCTCTTTCAGCTCCCATGGAGAGAAGTCGCAAAAGGTGAGCGAACGCAATTTGAGGTGGGAGTGGAATGACGCTAATATACTTGTGAGACACAAATGAATAACTTAACCTCTCCTTCCCCAGAAATAATAGATTCTTACATTTCAATGCAAACTCAAGACTTTCATTATGTAGCTGGAGGGGAAATGTATTGGCCTTTAAACGCATGCACTCAGCGAGAGAGACAGAGACAGAGAGAACCAGTCCTTAATGAAGAATAACAGTACTTGGATATATGTTCAATGTTTGTGAGACCTCTGTCTCCACCACTGTGTCTTCCAAGTGGAGAACGTGGGGCTGAGATCAGGATCTGGAGATGAAAAGGCAGCAATCAACTCACACTGCTTGATGCAACAGAAGACAAGCAATAGCAATCTGACATTACCGAATATTGCTTAAGGTGCAGAGGAACAGAGGAAGCTGCCTTATACTGAGTCAGACCACTCATCCATCTTGTTGAGAATTGTCTGCACTGACAGGCAGCCCTGTCTGCAGACACCAGGGATTGACCAGGGACCTTCTGCATGCAAAGGAAATGCTCTATCACTGAGCTATGGTCCTCTCCCAGCTTGAATGCTTCACTGAGTAGCCAGGCTTGTGGGGCCAAATAATAAAAAACCACAAGCCAGATGTGCCCACCTTTTCCTTCACTGAAAACTGTAGCAGTCTTTGCTTGGCTATATCATTTAGCATACTTGTAAACACAACAAATACCGTTTGTGGAGTAGACGGGAACAATATTAAATAATATTAAACTGTGCGGAAAAAACAACAGTATAAACAGTATAATGAGAACGAATGGAAGACTCGTTTTGTCAGAAGTATTTTTTATTTAAGTATTTATTTAAGTATTAATTAGGAAGATTAAGTTTTTTTATCCACATAAATCTGCTTTTTCTTCTTTCTTTTTTCTGTATTTTCTTCTTTTCTTCTTAATTGTTTTTCTTTAATTTCCTTTTTGTAGTATGAGATTGTAAATTCTTTGTAAAATCTTTCTATATGTGTGTAATTTAAATTAATAAAGATTATTTAATTATATATATATAATTTAACAAGAGAAATTTTGAGAAAGAACAACTAGCAACTCCTTTCTGCTAATCTGAGAACATAATGACTCTAAAATCAATACAGATTGTTTTACTGTATTCCTCCCTCCCTTCAAGGTGGTGGCATTTCTATACACCATCCCTCAGCCATGTCCTCTGGGTGGTCTACAAACTTAAAATGAAATTTAAAAATATGAAACGCTAAAGATCTAAAATGCACTAAAGCATATCATTAAAATGCCGGGGGAGGGGGATAAAAAAGGTATTCACGTGGTGCTGAAAGAACCACAATGTAGGCACCAGGCAAGCCTCTCTGGGAAGGAGATTTAAGAATGGATGTGCCACCACCAAAAAGACCATGTCCCCAGTAGCCCCCTGTCTCACTTTATTAGGAGCAGGAATCCAGAGAAGTGTCCTTGTTGAAGATCTAACTGCTAGGGCAGGAATATATGGGAGAAGGTAGTACCTGAGGTAACCTGGCCTCAAAGTGTTCAGGTATTTCTAGGTTAATGCCAGCACTCTGAAAAAGGCACAAAAATGGACTACTTGATTTTAATGGCGAATTCAGTGTATAATTTATCTCCTCCTCAAATCCATATGATGTAACTGCAACTAAAAGCTGCTAACAAGAGTAATACAAATACAATAAAATAAAATATGGGGAAACAACAAAAATACAGTGGATAAAAATGTTTTCGGGGTCAGGATGAGGCCCATGCTTTGTCTCTGTGTTTCTAGCAAATATCAGTCAGATGACTATAGGGCAGCCTTTGCCAGTCTGGTGCCCTTGGCCAGTCTGGTTCTATGGGAACTGCAGTCCAAGACTGGAGGGCATGAGATTGGCAAAGGCCACTGCTGGATAGTGAAGAAGGACCATCTAAGATGTGATGAAGTAAGGTAAAGGTAAAGGGACCCCTGACCATTAGGTCCAGTCGTGGCTGACTCTGGGGTTGCGGCGCTCATCTTGCTTTATTGGCCGAGGGAGCTGGTGTATAGCTTCCAGGTCATGTGGCCAGCATGACTAAGCTGCTTCTGACGAACCAGAGCAGCGCACGGAAACGCTGTTTACCTTCCCGCCGGAGCGGTACCTATTTATCTACTTGCACTTTGATGTGCTTTTGAACTGCCAAGTTGGCAGGAGCAGGGACCGAGCAATGGGAGCTCACCCTGTTGTGGGGATTCGAACCGCTGACCTTCTGATCGGCAAGTCTTAGGCTCTGTGGTTTAACCCATAGCGCCACCTGTGTCCCATGTGACGAAGTAGCCAGAAGCAAATATCTCTTGCAAACCAAGGAAGTGCTAGACCAGGCTGTTGGGTACCTTGTAAGAGACCTCTCACACTTAAAATTCCATGTTTTTCTTTAAAAACCATGCTGGAGTACATCACTACAGAGTGAACATCAAGATTCCTGCCTGTAAGGATCCTTTGCCACCAGTGGCGGAGACCAGGCGGGGGCAGGGCAGGCGCACGTCCGGGGGGCATGATGCACTGCCACAGGGGTGTGATGCGTGTCCTAGGGGCGTGGCATGCCTGCGGGGGCGTGGTGCCCAGCGGGGGGGGAACCGCGATGGCATCCCACTGGGATCGTGCTGCCGGGGGCAATGCGCTTCCCCCCCACCCCTCTTCCTCCGCCAGTGTTTGCCACCGACAGTGCCACAAGGTTGGTATGGAAAATGTGACTTGTGAATCCTGGCCTTTCCAACAGGGAGGTTATTCCAAAAGGAAATACTTTGCAGCTTATCTCTGACCATTTCAACTCGAAGTGCAAGACTAGAATGTTGGGCCACTGGCTGGCATCTCGCCAAAACTACGGCTGGCGCCAGACAGGCTCATCATATTAGTTAGATCAGGCTCTTGCCTGTGTTACTTGAGCTTATAATTGTTTGTGTGGTATTCTTAGAACATGAACACGACTGCTTTTGCGGCATTCCAAATTAATTCATTCCTTTTGATTTATTTGATTTCTCAAAGATGGCAGCAGGACGAAGCTTAATATTTATTTTGAGGAACCTAAGATATGGAGGTATCGCAGTGAGGGTGAAGGATCAATGAGGTTTAGTTTCCTTCCAGTTGCAGAGGATACAGCTAATGCACAAAATTTTGGCTGCAGTAAGGAGACCAGTATAAATGTTTGCTTCACAGCATAGACCAAGATATGATTATGCATAACATGATCTTGCAAGGGGAAGGGGGAGGGACTGCTTATGTTCTCCTTTAAGTGGCATCCATATATCTTCTGAAGTTCACCCAGAGGTCTTACGGGAACTGCATAAACTACCCAGAGTCAGACTGAGGACATTTTACACATGATACTGCAATGCATTTCAGATGCACAAATGTTAAGATGGAAAATGAGTCGGAGACTTTTTAAAATCAAAGATAGCCAATGTCGAAGTTAGATTTGAGTTTCAGCGACGGGAAGTGCAACTGCTTCAAGTGGCGCTTGTGAAAGTTTCTGCTGGCTGAAATCTTCGACGCCTTTGATCAAGAGATTTTAGGAATGCAGCGACAACAACTGAGCAGATGAAAGTTAAATAAAGTAAGCTTCACAAAGACAATCCATGCTGCTCTGATGCTGGCCCCAGATTAAACAGAAGGTGATACCTTGACCTCTTTTGGATTTGCATGTTATCAAATGGAGTGGAAATGTGGACTCCTTAATAAAATACAGTGGTACCTTGGGTTACATACATTTCAGGTTACATACGCTTCAGGTTACAGACTCAGCTAACCCAGAAATAGTACCTCGGGTTAAGAACTTTGCTTCAGGATGAGAACAGAAATTGTGCAGCGGCGGCGTGGCAGCAGTGGGAGGCCCCATTAGCTAAAGTGGTACTTCAGGTTAAGAACAGTTTCAGGTTACGAACGGACCTCCGGAACGAATTAAGGGCTTTTTTCCTACCACTATTACAGTGGTAGAGGTACCACTGTAATAATAATTGTTTAATATGAAGAGGCACTTATGAACTACTTAGACATGTGCAGAGCTCTGAGTCAGAAAAAAAATAACTTTATCAGATATGACTGAGAAATGCTGCTTAAATCTCTTCTCCTTTTTTGCCAGATCTTCCTTTAACATACTTTTGAGACATGGGGAAACCATTCCATACAAGATAGGAAAGAGAGGCAGGGAAATAACTCCCTAAACACGTCAGAAGAATATTTGGGTCTTAAAGCTGCATTTTCTCACTTCAGTTATTTCTGCCTCTCCTTTTGACAATGGTATCCACATTCAGTTACGAGGGTATGTAGACAAAACAATTCCTTCATTTAAGTAACAGATCCAAGAAGCTTGCTCAGCATATTGACATTCGATTGAAGATGGATGCCTGGCTCCCAGTTTCCTTCCTCCTCATGGACCACCATCTGCTCATCTGTCTCTCTAGGAATTAGATTCCTAGCAAATTGGAATAAATGTGCAATTAGGGGTGGGAAATCCAAAGCGGCTTAGGAGGAATAACCAAGTAATAGTATATTAGTATACTGGTGACTTGTAGCTCATTCAGCCTGGCTTATATAATTTTTTAAAAAATATTTTTTTTGAGATTTTGTAATTGCAAATATCAAATATCATATGCCATTATCCAATCCTACCTTACCATTACATTTACAATCCCCTCCCTGACATCCCTCATCTTCCCCTTCTGGTTTGTTACATTGTTTGTTGTATTCTGCATGTATAAAAGGTAAAGGGACCCCGGACCGTTAGGTCCAGTCATGACCGACTTTGGGGTTGCAGCACTCATCTCGCTTTATTGGCCAAGGGAGCCGGCATACAGCTTCCGGGTCATGTGGCCAGCCTGACTAAGCCGCTTCTGGCGAACCAGAGCAGCGCACGGAAATGCCATTTACCTTCCCACTGGAGCAGTACCTATTTATCTACTTGCACTTTGACCTGCTTTCAAACTGCTAGGTTGGCAGGAGCCGGGACCGAGAAACGGGAGCTCACCCCGTCATGGGGATTCGAACTGCCGACCTTCTGATCGGCAAGTCCTAGGCTCTGTGGTTTAACCCACAGTGCCACCCGCGTCCCATTCTGCATATATATATACTATTAAATGTTATTGCATTGTCATCCTCTATTTCTGTATTCAATAAAGTTGTGAAAGTTTATTCAAATCCTGCCAATGAGTCCATTTCTTTTTGTTGTTTCTGCAGATAAATTGTAAATGGTTCCTAAAGTCACTGTTATCTTTTTCATGTTTGTCAGTTTGTCAGTTAACTTTGCTAACTCTGCATAGTCCATCAATCTTTCTTGCCATTGTTCTTTTGTTGGTATTTCTTCAGATTTCCAGTTTTGAGCTATTAAAATTCTTGCCGCAGTGGTCACATACATAAATAACTTGCATTTCCCTTTTGGTAATTTTTAACCTAAAATACCTATCAAAAAGGCTTCTGGGTTTTTTTTAACAGCCTGGCTTATATAATGGCAGTCAGGCAGTCTTGCTTTGACTCCATTTGTCTTTTACACAGATGCCTTTGCTATCATTGCTGTTGCGGTGGACCATTTTTTCC